AGATGTGAGCTACGGTGAGCAGGTGGTTCTTTACATGGGAGATCGGGTCCGATATGGCCTGAAAACACGCTTCCAGAAGGATGTCTCTGGCTCGCATGGAGTTGAGAACCGCCCAACAAATTCTATTCGCTGGACTGTCGTTAAGGTGGATTTTTTTCTCGTTTATTAACAGGCCCAACTCGTGGCATGTGGAATGCACCAAATCGAGGCTCCTCTGCACTTGCTCCCAGGCCTGCCCTTGACGAGCCAGTCATTGAGATACGGGAAGACCTGGACCCGTCGATGTCTCAGGTAAGTAGCCACTGGCCCCATACATTTTGTGGGCACCCTTGGGGCTGATGAGAGACCAAAGGGCAGTGTTGTGAATTGAAAATGGCATCTGCCCACTATGAAACAGAGGAAACATCTGTGACCTTGGAATATGGAAATAAGTGTTCTTTAAATCAAGGGTGGCGTACCAGTCTCCCGGATCCAGGGAAGGGATGATGAAAGCCAGGGAGACCATGCGAAAATTCAACTTTCTGAGAGACTTGTTGAGGCGACACAGGTCCAGAATGGGTCTGAGGGCCCCCCCTTTTGCTTTCGGAATTAGGACGTAGTAGGAATAGAAACCTATTTCCTTCACGTCCCTAGGGACCTCCTCCACCACCCCCAGGTGCAGGAGGGTCTTGACCTCTTGGATGAGGAATTGCTTGTGAGAAGGGTCCCTGAAGAGGGATGGGGAAGAGAGGGGGTGAGAAGGAGGGGCAGCCAAAAATCGCAGTTGTATAGCCCTGAGATACTATGTCCAGCTGAACAATAGGGATGAAAATGCTCGAGGAAAGAACAAGGGGAATTGACTGGGCATTGCTCCCGAATGCACGTTCAAAATGAGTACTTCTGGCCCCCGGTATGCTTTGCCGGACCGGGCTGCAGGTGAGGGGGACGAGGAAGGGTGGCGACAACTAAAGCTCGAATCTCTACTTCTCCTTGCAGACCCTTGATGAGGCTGCCAAGGGCCATGGCGGCAGGGAAGGCCGGAACTGTTTCCGTGCAGATTGCGGTATATGCATGCCCAGCAATCAAGGATGGCCCGAGTGTCCTTTAACCCATGCAGCCTCGCATCAATCTGCTCTGAAAAGAGACTGTTCATCGAATGGGAGATCCTGGATAGAGATCTGCTTCTCTTAGGATAGGCCGGCGGTCTGAAGCCAGGAGCTACACTTCATGACCACCCCCAATGCGATCATCCTAGCCGCTAAGTCTGATGCATCCTATACCATCTGGAGAGAGCACCTACCCACCGCAGTGCCCTCCTCCACCAGGGTGCTGAATTCCTGGGCCATACCCTGAGAGAGGGGCTCCTTAAACTTATGGCGGGAGTCCGAAGAGGGCCTGATGGTTTGCCACCTGGAATTGCAGGCTGTCTGTTGAATAAATTTTGTACAGTCTTTTGGCCTCTTTATTTTTTGGGGTTGAACTAGTGTGCCCCTGCTTGACCTTTCTGTTGGCCGCAGAGCCAACCAGTAAGCCTGGAAGTGGGTGTGTATAAAGGTACTCGAACCCTTTGACCGGGATGAAGTACTTCTTTTCTGCCCATTTGGAGGTGGGAGGGATGGACGACGGGGTTTGCCTTGGCAATTTTCAGGACCCTGTAAAATTAGTGCAACACATGCCAGGGTAGAGGCTGAGAGGACATTGAACAAGGTGTCTGCCTGCTCGGCCATCTCCTCCACCTCTAGACCAAAGTTCTCAGCCACCCATTGAAGCAGGGCCTAGTGTTCCTTAAAATTGTCTGGTGGGCTGGCCCGAGGGTTTAAGCCACTTTGTCTGGGGATGGGGACGACGACTGTACCACTGGGGGAAGCTCCAGGGTTTCATCGCCCATGGGGGATTAGGGTTTGGAGTGGGCACTGTCTCCTCTACCCCAACCTCCGAGCAGGTTTCATGCACAGAGCCTGGTGCCACCAGCAGTTGCTCCGAGGCGGCGGCAGATGAGCAGTGCAAAGGGGGCATCATTGGAATGCCCCACACACTCCAACAAGGCCACTGGCTATGCTGCCAAGGCGGCGCCGTAGACATCGACGCGGCCTCAGGTTCCCATTCACACCAGTGGGGTCATGACGAGGGGCTGAACTGCCCTTCTGTGCCGAAGAAATCCCCTTCCGTTGACCACGGCGGGCTGTCGATGCCTGTGTCTGCCTGCTGACCGTTGCTGCTGGATACCGATTTGGAGTAGGAGGATCGGTGCCAGTGGGGGACCAGTCCTGGGGGGGACCAGAATTGTGATGGGGAGCACTCCCCCGGGGGCAGGCGACAGAGATCTGCACCGAGCGGACAACCAGCTGGAGGGCGAATGGTGCCAGTGGAACGGAGACCAGCGCCTCCCCCAAGGCGATCTGCATCGAGATTGCTGGGACCATGATCGCGCTGCCGGTGACTGAGGGCGAGCCCCAGAGGATCTGGGCTGGGACACTGGAGCTCTGTGGCACAGAGATGGGAGAGCGCTGCTTGTCTCGGGGATCGGTGGTGCTCCACTGCCCCCTGAAGTGTCTTAGCGGCTGGCATGCCCTCAGAGGGAGCCTTTGCTGCTTCCTGCGGCATGCATGGTGCCAGCAGCGCAGGTGGAGGCCTCTGTTCTATTAGTGCCGGGGAGCTTGGGAAGGTGTCGATGCCATCAGACGTTTGGGTCCCCTACTGCTCCCGGGAGTTGGTGGTGGATCCTTTAAGGGGCTAAGGGCCCCGATGGGGGCGGCACGTCAGTGTGGCTCTAAAGTGGCAGGGTGCCCCGAACTGGGTCCTTTGCCCAGTGCCCCAGGGCCTTTCTTGCCCGGTGCTGGGGAGCTGTGGTTCTTCATTTTCTTTCTGGGGACCGGTGACAGGGAACAGTGCTGGGAAGAACCCAGTACTTGGGGTGCACACCGAGGTACTAGGCAAGTCTTGGTGGGATGGCTTGAAAGCCGGATGAAGGGCAGCCTCCATGAGGAGATCCCACAACTGAATATCCTGCTCTAAGTCCTGGGTCAAAAATTTTTACAAATACGACACTTGTCCTTCACATGTGATTCCCCCAAGCACTTGAGGCAGTTGCTGTGGGGGTCACTTATGGGCATAGGCCTGTTGCACTCCGTGCAGGGCTTAAACCCCGGACACCAGGGCATGCCCTGCCTGGGGCGAACTCCTCACTGGGATTCTAACTTCTAACACCTAACTACACTTAACTAATTACTATAAACAACTGTATACAAGGCCCTAAGGCTCAAAGTCAGAAGAGACGAAACCGCTAGCTCTTGCTATGCAAGGAAAGGCACTCGACTAACCACCATTGGTGGTAAGAAGGAACTGAGAGGGCGTAGGGCTGGTGGCATCTGATATACGGATGCATGAGCACCACACTCTGGGGGGAGGGGGGTGCACCACAGCTGGCCTTACGGATTCCGCTAAGGCAAAAGTCTCCGACGACCGCGCATGTGGACGCGTGCACACCTAGAATGGAATCAACATGAGCAAGCACTCGAAGAAGAACATGCTCTTCCAACTTTTCTGCCAACAGTTAAAAGGAAAAAAATGGTGGAATTCAAATAGTCAGAATGCCTGTCAGAGAGCTTGTCAAGAGCATGCTTAAATATTTGCTCATATTCATTGTTTTAAAAAGTATGAGAAGGATGTAACTTTATTACAATATATTAAGCAGAAGTAGAAGCATCTGCTGCAGTAAAAGAGCTGAGTTCCAACTTCCATTGCAATTCTCCACTTTTTCTCATGCTCATAACGGTCTCAAAAAAATTCAACATACAAGGAATTTGTTTATGCTTGGTCTCTGCCTAAAGGTGAATTTTTATTTACTATTTTTTTTAAGTTACAGCAAATTCAACTGAGCCATTTTTGAGTTTTATTCTCACCTTTGCCACTGACCTGCCTTAATACTTTAGAAACATTGTTTAAGCCTCAGTACTCCCATTCAGAAGGCAATCATCACTACTTCCATTATGGAAAATGAAACTGAGGCACCGAGAGGTTAAGGTACAGAGCAAGGAAGTGTTAGAATCAAGACTACAATCCAGGTCACCTGCTTGCAGGTCCAGACCTCATCTACTAGACCAGTGTGTCTCCAGGCAAATCACTTAACTAATCTGTGCCTTATCTATCTCATCTGTACAATGTGGTTAGTAATGCTTACCCCAAGGGCTCGGAGGACTACAGATGAAAAAGTGCTATGTAACTGCCAATTATTATCATCATCACCCATTTTTACAAATGGACAAACAGACAACGTTAAATGACAAGTGTGATCTAATGGGTTAGGCATGAGCCTAGCAGCGAGCAGGCAGTTTCTAATTGCGGTTCTGAAACTGATTTGCAATGTGGTTTTAGGCTAAATCTTTCTATGCCTCTGCTTCCCCATTCATAAACAGGGATAATACTGACATCATACCCTAACGCATAGGTTTGGTCATGGTTGGCATAATTCATTAATATCTGAAAAACAAAATGTAAGATTCTCAGATGGAAAATACAAGGCTGTGGCTGGAGAACTCAGCAGGTTTTACAGTGGAAAAAAAAAATCAGAGGACATGTCAGATTAGCATCAATAATGAGCCCAATATAACCAAATCACCTAATTCTTTACCCTAAAGTTTCCCAATGTAAAATCCAGAGGTTAATGGGGTCCCTTAGAATATGTGCTATCTACTTATACTAAAAATCTGTTCCATCTTCCATTTAGCTGTGACGCTTGGAATACTGTTCCAAGACCGGAAAAGAAAAGCTCTGTGTGGCTCATGCTTGTCTCTCTTACTAAGAGAAATTGGTCCAATAAAAGATATTCTATTATCACAGAATTTCAGTGATCCAAGTAACCAGCTGTTTTAAAGTGCTCCTTTTTAAATATTTCCCTAAATTTGCAGAAACCAATTGCTGACAAGCAATAATTACTAATGCAGAGAAAGCAAGGTATTTATATATATATTGCTATCTAAATAATGGCTTAAAAGAAAACACTCATGAAGAATTCCATTTACCTGAAAAAGCATTACTGTAATATCTTGAGAGCGTCTGCATAATATCTTTGGAATGTTGGGTCCATGGTGCTATCTTCCTGTAGGTTTTTACTCGATGAACAAGTTGAGAACCTCCATATTGCAGAGAAAGTGTGTCTCCATGATCTTCATACAACTCCTCAAATAACCTAAACCAATGAAACCAAAATATCTGAGAATTCTATCACTACTGCTAGAAAGTGAATGTTTCTCTACTCTGTATTTTATGCCTTACTTACCTTTATGTTTTAAAAAGACTTAAAGGTAAGCAAGTAGAATTTCAAATAAACTATTTTCGGTTAATGTAATGAGTGTCATACTTCTGAACCAGAAAAGCCAGGTGTCTTCTTTCCAAAATATTAATTTAGCTAGTAAAGATTACAGAGGTGGCAACTACTGCAAGAGGAGTTAAGTGTTCTTTCGCAACATTCCTCTTAAACAGACTAAACATGTACTGGGCAACTAACTCTACATCTGCTCTGGTCTAAAAGATCATAGCACAAAATTTTTCTGATAACCTCCTCCTGCTGCCCACTTCAGATATTAGTCTTATCAGGACATGCACTAAGAAATTATTGTACACATTATGTACGTATACACATGGATACACTCTGTGTGTATATATATATATATATATATGTATATATGAATGAAAGGGATCAATAGTATATATCAGGGACAATAAGAAGGCTAAGTAAATATATATTTGTGATTATTTTAACAAACGAGTAGATTTTTACAGAGTGAAATTAATCTTAGAGTTATAAAACCTTAACAATATGTTCAGAAATTGAAACTTAGAAATATTTTCCCAAATATTAAAAGTTTAATTCATTCATTTTAAGTAACTACTGTGGAATTCTTGAGATACCTAGATTTTTTCCCTGATTAAATGAAATATTTTTTCTCCTATATATTGCTGCCAGTTTACAAAAACAGAGATAACACCAGTAAGCACAATCTGCACTACATGTGTAAGAAAGCAGAGTCAAATATAGTAAAAATCTTAAATGAATCAAACAGTGCCATAGAATCTCTGTGACTAGAAATTCCATGCTTCAACAATAAGAGTATAGCAGTAGGAATATACTATCGACCACCTTATGGGGATAGCAATGGTGACCATGAAATGTTCAGGGAGATTAGAGAAGCTACAAAAATAGAAAACTCAATAATAATGGAGGATTTCAACTATCTCCATATTGGCTGTGTACACGTCACCTCAGGATGGGATGCAGAGATAAAGTTTCTAGACACCATTAATAACTGCTTCTTGGAGCAGCTAGTCCTGGAACCCACCAGGGGAGAGGCAATTCTTGATTTAGTCCTAAATGGAGCACAAGTGGTCCAAGAGGTGAATATAGCTGAACCACTCAAATTTAATTATATTATGGTTGCTAATACGAACATCCTTGTGGAGGAGAAATACCAAAAAAGTAGCATTTAACTTCAGAAAGAGGAACTACACAAAAATGAAGACACTAGTTAAAACATATATTAAAAGATACAGTCACAGAAGCGTAATGCCTACAAGCTTAATGGACACATAATACCATAACACCATAATAGAGGCTCAAATTAAATGTAAACCCCAAATGAAAAAGAATAGTAAGAGGACCAAAAAATGCAATCATGGCTAAATAACAGAGTAAAAGAGGTGATTAGAGGCAAAAAGGCATCCTTTAAAAAAGGAAGTCAAATCCTAATGAAGAAAATAAAAAGAATAAACTCTGGCAAGTCAAGTATAATCAGGAAGGCCAAAAAAGAATTTGAAGAGCAACCAGCAAAAGACTCAAAAACTAAGAGCAAAAAACTTTTTAAGTACATCAGAAGCAGAAAGCTGCCAAGCCAATCAGTGTGGCCACTGGACGATCGACATACTAAAGGAACACTCATGGAAGACAAAGCTATTGTAGAGAAGCTAAATTAATTCTTTGCATTGGTTTTCACTACAGAGGATGAGAGAGAGAATCCCACACCTGAACCATTCTTTTTAGGTGACAAATCTGAAGAACTGTTCCAGATGGAGGGTGTCAACAAAGGAGGTTTTTGAACAAATTGTTAAATTAAACAGTAAAAAAAATCTCCAGGACCAGATGGGATTGACCTGTGGAACTTGTTGCCAGGGCTGTTGTGAAGGACAAAACTATAACTGGGTTCAAAAAAGGATTAGATAAATTCACGGAGGACAGGTCCACCAATGGCTATTAGCCAAGATAGTCAGGGATACAACCCCATGCTCTGAGTGTCCCTAAGCCTCTGACTGCCAGATGTTGGAACTGGATGACAGGGGATGGATCACTTATTGATTGCCTGTTCTGTTCACTCCCTTTGAAGCATCTGGCATTGGCCACTGTTGAAAGACAGGAAACTGGGCTTGATGGACCATCGTTCTGACTCAATATTATCATTCTTATGTTTTTTTTAAAGACCTTAAAGATTAATAACTTTGAAAGTCTGAATATATCAAAACATTGTCTCATTACTAAGTCAGACAGTAAGAGTCAGCGTTAACTAGGGACAAGACAAGTATAAATGTGATGCAATACAGAAAGGAGAGTTTAAAAAAAAAAGGTGAATGTGGTCAAACATATAGGAGGGTAATTTTAGTAGCTGCATTTCAGAAAGACTGGAAATGGAAGATGTTATGTGAATGTCAGGGAGATCAGAGAGGAGGTGACTGCTTTAATCAAAATGAGAAATTAGGACTGGATATATCGTGGGAGAGAAAAAAAAGTGGCATGAGAGGGGAAATGGAAAGATTTCAACATAGCCTAGATGTGAGGAGGAGGAGGAGCGGAAGAAATCAAAGGTGACCCCAAGGAAGGATGATGGTGTAGTAATGGAGAAAAGAGAAAGAGAAAAGGATTGGGCAGAAAAATAAGGTCAGTTTTAACCTTCCAAAAAGAGATGTCAGAGGGAGAAGGGATGAGATGTGGAAATAGATTAAAAAAGACAACAGATTAGTGTGGAGTGGCAGATTTGCAGGTCAACAGTATACAAATGATAGGAGTCAAATACTTCTGTCATACAACACGTTATTTCTGGCTACTATATAATAGCTTTTTAAAGTTCAAATCTGTTTCTGGACTTAGAGTTGAGAAAACGATGGAAAAAAGCATAGTACCCTGTCTTATTTTATTCAAAAACAGATAGGTTTGCTTATTCTGGCTTTTTGGCATTATGAAAATTTTCAGAATTTTTTTTTCCCCTTTCCTTCCTAGAAATTAAAGTTCTGGTAGATGCATAGGAGGAAGATGTATAGAAGGATCTTCTGTGCATGATCTCAAATAATTCCTCCACTGTTCTGATAAGTAAATCTGAAAATCCAATCTAAAAATCATTCAGCAAGTGAAGAGATTTAAAAAACATAATAATTGAAGCAGATATCCATACAGAGAAGGCTACATAAAGTTACACATCTTGATCTCTCTTCAAAAAGCAGAAACAAGTATACAGCAAGCACAACAGTAAGTCATACAACTGTCCAAAGGTAAAAAAAAAAACCCTCAATACCCAAGAGAAAAGGGGCCAATGAAGTGGAAGATCAAAAGAAATTGCGAGGGTAATATTGCTTGGAGGTTTTCTGATGTCCCATCAAACCTGATGCCTCAAAGGCAAAGCAGCAAAACAGTTTCTTCTGCCTCTATTCCCTTCTGCTTGGAGAAATATAGTTGTGTCAGAGATCTGTGGTATTGAGCAGGTGACTGTTCCAAAGGGGTCTGCCTCTGGGATTGAAAGTTGTTCAATCTGTTTCAATGGAAGGCCACTAAACCCTCTAATAACAAAGGTTTTCCCAGATCTATGCTTATTGTGACTCTTTGAATGGGAATAAGAATAGGAGGGACCCCTCAGATATGTGGTGCTTCTTCTTCTTCTTTATATGCATCACCATCTCTGGATCCTGCAACTCCAGAGATCCAGCAGTCTTCTCTTTAGGCTTCTTGGAAGCAGAATGCAGATCTGACTCACTTTCCTTCCCTCGAGCACTCTTGTGCGGAGATAACTGTTGATGCCAAAGCATTTAGCCAAGATTGCAGTAAAGTTGAGGGAGATGTGGAGGAGACATTTTCCCCCTAGGACTTCCCCCGTTTGTGGGACTACCAGATAAAGACCGTAGCTATGTCTTTCTCCAAAACAATGAAGGCAAGCATGTTGGTCTGAGACTGGCATCTTCCCATTATGGGAGATTCACCTCAAACCCCAAATGCTTTGAATCTGCCATCAGGAAATTCAAGCAGAGCTAACAGGGAAGTTAAGAACACGAAACTGATTAGAGTCAGTATTATGAACAAACCAAACACCCCATCAGCATGCACACCAACAATGACTATTAATCATAAAATCCTATCTTTACTTTAAAACATACACAATGGAAATATCTCCCCCAATTCCGCTGCTCCAATAAGATACACTATGCAAGAAATACTAAACTAACTACCTGAAGCCGTGAGCTCAGAGGTCTCTATTACAGTAATAAGGAAAACAATGTGGCCTCAATTGTCCCTCATATTTACACAATCAGGCCCAAATGTCCAAATCCCTGAGAAAACACTCTTGCAAGCTTTAATGGTCACTAATATTCAGGGGGTTCCAACTTCAGTATCAAAGGCACATGTGTATAATCTGAAAATGTTCAGAGAGGTTGCAGAAGGATGCATTTCCCTTCCCCCCCCCCCCTCAATGCACCAAGAAGATACGGTAGAAAGGAAAATGAAGAAAAATAAGTTAAAATGTATTTCTGCATTGTATTTCTGGTTACTGGGAGCATCTGGCAAAAAATTATGCTTAGCTCACTTTAAAGGCAAACTGCAAAGCAAAAATTAAAAGCTTTATAAAACACTTTTATTATGAACAGGAGTACTTGTGGCACCTTAGATACTAACAAGTTTATTTCAGCATAAGCTTTCGTGGGCTACAACTCACTTCTTCAGATGCATAGAGTGAAACACACAGACAGAAGATATTTATACATATAGAGAACATGAAAAGGTGGAAGTACGCATACCAATTGTAAGAGGCCAATCAATTGAGATGAGCTATCAGTAGCAGCAGAAGAAAAAACTTTGAAGTGATAATCGAGATGACCCATAGAAGGTGTGAGGAGAACTCAACATGGGGGAAAAAAATTCAATTAGTGTAATGACCCATCCATTCCCAGTCTCTGTTTAGACCTAAGTTAATTGTGTCTCATTTGCATATTAATTCGAGTTCAGCGGTCTCTCTTTGGAGTCTGTTTTTGAAGGTTTTTTGTTGCAAAATTGTCACCTCCAAGTCTGTCACTGAGTGTTTAGAGAGGTTGAAGTGTTCTCCCACTGGTTTTTGAATGTTATGATTCCTGGTGTCAGATTTGTGTCCATTTATTCTTTTGCGTAGAGACTGTCCGGTTTGGCCAATGTACATGGCAGAGGGGCATTGCTGGCACATGATGGCACATATCACGTTGGTAGATGTGCAGGTGAACGAGCCCCTGATGGTGTGGCTGATGTGGTTAGGTCCTATGCTGGTGTCACTATGTGGACAGAGCTGGCATCGGGCTTTGTTGCAAGGATAGGTTCCTGGGTTAGTGTTTTTGTTGTCTGGTGTGCGGTTGCTGGTGAGTATTTGCTTAAGGTTGGGAGGCTGTCTGTAAGCGAGCACTGGTCTATCTCCCAAGATCTGTGAGAGTGAGGGTTCATCTTTCAGGATAGGTTGTAGATCTTTGATGATGCGCTGGAATGGTTTCAGTTGGGGGCTGAAGGTGGCGGCTAGTGGCGTTCTGTTATTTTCTTTGTTGGGCCTGTCCTGTAGTAGGTGGCTTCTGGGTACTCTTCTGGCTCTGTCAATCTGTTTTTTCACTTCAGCGGGTTGGTATTGTAGTTTTAAGAATGCTTGATAGAGATCTTGTAGGTGTTTAGGTGTTTATCTCTGTCTGAGGGATTGGAGCAAATGCGGTTGTATCTTAGAGCTTGGTTGTAGACAATGGATCGTGTGGTGTGTCCTGGATGTTTATTTAAAGGACAGAGTTTTCAAGTTTGAAGTTTAAGCATCAAAAGAGAAGTGCTCAGTTTTGTTATCCTGAAAGGAGCCTGATAAGCATACTAATCAAATAGAGGTAATCTTGAAGTTACATTGATTTCTGTTAAATGTCATACAGAGGGATGAATGGATAGTTTAGTTAGCTGGAAAAAAAAAGAACTGAACATTTATTTGATTTAAACAAAGTAATTTCACTTAAAGAAAAATTATGAAAACAACAAAATATAAAAAGCCACAGAAAAAGATAACTGCTTAATATTTGTTACAAAATTAATGCCAGGAAAAAAAGAACAACATATTTTACTAACAGTGTAATATCTTACCTAACAGCATCTGTGTCAAACTGCAAATTGGGTTTATCAATCAACCCCAAAGAATAGAGCTGATAGGCTAACGCACACTTCCCCACCATGAACTGGGCTGTGTTAGTGCGATCTAAACAGTCAACACAATTGGTTCGAAGAACACCAGTCTAGGAAAGAAAAAAGAATAAATGGGAGATTCTTCAACCAGTTCCCAATCATTACATTCATGCTTACTCCACAACGGAATTGTTCTCCTGGTTTCCTAATAAACTTGTCAAAACTCAAATACTTAATTATTCAAAATCTTGTGCGAATAGGTCAAGATCTTAAATCATTTAGGCTGCAATTGTCTATGTTACAGAAAACTGCTAAAGCTTCAATTCAAAAGAGTCTCACTATTATCAGCTTCCTGAAACACTAAACTCTTCTTCCCTCTCATAAACACACTTATGATTTATTGCCAAAAAATGTTGGGTGCCACTGCAATGCAAAAATAAAGTTCCCATTTTTAAGTCTTGCTACTAAGACTGAAATATAAAAAACAAAACATGCTATCATATTGCTATGGCCATAGTACAATGGTATTTATATTTTCAACACTCCTATTCATAGGCAACAGGTGTACAAGTTCTGTTAAAGATTACAACCTGCATATCTTTCGAAACACCACCTGTGCCTGTGTTCTTCAATTACATAATGCCCACATAAGGCTTGGTATTTTATAATCTGAAGAGCTGAAAGCATAAATACCATATAATATTTTCATATGAATGCTATCTGATTTATGGCTTATTTTGTTAATTCACTACACACAGGTAGACGTGCAATACTTGAAGATGTATAAATCAAGGCAACATTCAAATGGCTTGGACGTTCTTCTTTTAGAGAGATTAAAATTAGGCTCACTCAGCTATTTATCCTTAAATATCAGACCCTTGATGTTCTGTTAATATGGAATTGAGCATCTGTTCCCTAGATTATGTAAAGTATAAAATTATAAATGATCATAGGTAGAAAAAAATAATGCTTCAGCAACATTGTATCTTGTGTGCAGAATATACAATCATGACATCCATATTTAAAATCATAAACCAGTAATTCTTTCACCATGCTATACATAGAGTAGTATTTTAAGTCAAATTGTCTGTTTAATTTTTGATGGTAACCATAATTATACAATGTGCAACAATGTGAAGACGAGAATGCTTTTAAATACTTGTTTCCATGTACATGAATTTACTATCAGAATAAAGCATGTTTATTCCATACTCCACTAAAATTTTAATGTTTGAACAATACATTTTTTTCAATATTGAACAGTACATTTTTTCTGATTGTAAGACAAGATGTAAAAAATTATTAAAAGCAGTGTACTGTGTGGCTTGTTGCCTATGTACTGTTAATGTTACAAAGGATAGCAACTTTCAGCGAGACTGGTACCACTATTGCTAATTTCAGAAATGGAAACAATTTAAAATGTAATATATTTCTCAGATTTCATTTGGCAAGAAGATATTTCCAGCAGCACATTTTTTTCTAGCACCATCCAAAGACAGTGTGGCCCTAAACCCATTTGGGGCCTTTGGGCACTACTATAAAATATATATTTACATTAGTAAAGTACTGACTCAGAGGAGAAACAGTCATCTACTGATTCAGGAACAATGCTTCCTGCTGCACCTATGGTAGATGGCTCTTTGGAAGCATCCTGTCCTATCAGATTACTGACTTACATCAATAAAACTTTGTTGTAATAATAAACCAATATTATTTCAATACCTGTAAGCGACCAGTGGGAACAACAAAACCTCCCAGTTCATTCCATCTGGAAGGGAAACAAAATACCATGCCTTACAAAGTTTACTTAATGTAAGGATTATAGGTCATGTCATATGTGTCTGGCTCAGTGAAATAGAGGGAAGAATTTAATAACCTGCTAAAAATGAGTCTGAAATCTCTGAGTGATTGAAAATACACATGAGTGGGTGAAAACAATGTGACTATACATATCTGGTAGGACACGTGTTGCAATTAGCTTGCAATGCAAGAAATCCAGTATTGGAATAAGCGTGTGCTAAGCAGGGCCGGCTCCAGGCACCAGCTTACCAAGCATGTGCTTGGGGCGGCCACTTCGGAGAGGGGTGGCACGTCCAGCTGTTTGGCGGCAATTCAGCGGACGGTCCCTCACTCCTGCTTGGAGCGAAGGACCTCCCGCCGAATTGCCGCTGCAGATCGTGATTTTTTTTGTTTGTTTGTTTGGCTGCTTGCGGCGGCCAAACCCTGGAGCCAGCCCTGGTGCTAAGACTCACAACAAATTAGCCCAAGAAAGCCAAGTACAATATGTTTCTCCCCACCTCCAAACCAAAATGCAAGTTATAGACCTTATTAGAATACAGAGATTCCCCCCAAGTTGGGAAAGTGATCACTAAATGTTTATGGACAGGTTGAAGGAATTTTCTGTAATAAGGCTAAAAAATTACATAAAATACATAAATTTCAATTATGTCATAAATCAATGAGGGCCGAATTGAGCTTTCAAAGTAAAAATTGATTTCACACCCCTATTTTATCACTAATTTGAAAATTAAATAACTTATTTGCAGTTTAGAGATTTGGGAACATACAGTGTACCAGATAACTTCTGTAATGTTCTAAAAAGTTATAATAAATAATAATCTGTCTTCCCTAGACATTTTTTTTATTTTTTCTAAAAATATGAATTTCTTACAATCATGTATACAAGAGTAGGAACTGGCAAGTTTAGATGACAGGTATATTTCCTGGCACTCCTTAGAAAACGCTTTGTTTAAATTCCAAATTGTGCTTGCTTTATCTGTTCGGACACTGCATATCTTGTTTTCAATCATGCAATACAACATGAAGTGCATGCCCTGAAACAGCAAAAGAAGCTGTTCTCAGAACAAAGAACTGTTTGTTATCTCTTTCAAGAATTCATGAACTGCTTAAATATAAAGGGGGAAAATGAACATTTCAGACTTAATTTGTAAAATTTGTATGTTTATTGTAGCAAGAACCACCAACTACACCAAATTTCACAAGTACACATTTACCATGAAGATACAAGTAGCATAATTAGCGGCATATTTTACACTTGTTCAATGTGTGGATAATTATAGACTATGTCCCTTTGGTTGCAGTCTTTTTCACTCTAACTGGACATTAAATTATAATTGTCACATTACTGCAATCTTTAAAAAGCCAAGTCAGAGAGAGTACATATTTAGGAATATTTCATGTGTATAAGCAGTGCATGTGCATATACACACACACACACACACACAGGTTTATGTATACTCCCCCCCACACACACACACAAACTCATCCTACCCTTTTTACTTTTCTTGTTTTCATACATACTTTTCATCTGGCCGCAAAATGCTGCAGTAGGAATCAGGACGATTTACAAAGAATCCTGTTTTCTTCACTACACTTTCCGCAATTACATTCAATCTATCCAGGACATTACACAGTTTGCTATGGGGAGAAAAAACAAATATTGAATACTCTTCTCTAGTTTTCACTGGTTGGAAAGTCTCCTGTCAGTGATTTTCTTTGTAAGAAAACTTGCAGTTCACACCCATGTCCATATCTACTGACCAGACATTACAGCAACAGCAATGTTTTCATGCCAGTTTTGCTTACTTCACATAATTAAAAAGGGACATTGGTAAATTTTAATCATTTACCATTCTATCAATCTTTGCATAATCTACATTTTATCAGCAGTGATTTTATAATTACTTCCAGATCATTGATGAAAATGTTGAATAGCTTCAGGCCTAGTACCAATCACTGTAAAACCCCATTAGAAATGTCCCCGTTCAATGATGAATCCTCATTGACAATGTCTTCTGGATATCTATCAGTCATCCAGCTCATACTCTATTTAACATGTGCTTTATTAATACTGTATAGGCTGCCAATTTTTTAAAATCAGAATGTCATGTGGCGGTACTAAGTCAAATGCTTTCCAAAAGTATAAGTATTGTAGTTACCTTTAGCAACCAAACCTTAATCTCAAAGAATGAAATCTGGTTTGTTTGACAAGATTTATTTTTAATAAAAAACATGTTTACTGGTTATATTATATTAATTATATTCCTATCTTAATTCTTTATTAATTGAATCATGTATCGACTTTTTCCCCTTATTTTGGCTGGGACTGATGACAGACTAACTGGCCTATAGTTACCCAGGTCATCACACTTCCCCTTTTTGAATATTGACACATTAGCATTCTTCCAGCCTTCAGGAGTTTCCTCTATATTCAGCTAAGCAGCTGGAGTAGATAAATGTGGGCTTTTGAGACAGCAAGTCTGAAGCCTCAAATGTGTCTCCCTTCTTGTGTGGAAAGTGAAGACATGACTAACCACACACTGGGATTCACGGTCTCTCCCCCAACCCTGGCATATGAGGCACGTGACATGGACATAACACATTTCTTGAAGCTCCTACAGGACTCATGGCCTAGGGACTACCCAAGGTAGATATCTAGGCTACGATAATCCATACTACACTAACTAAAAATTGTTAATTACTGAAGGATAAAATGAATTAGACTATAATAATCTAGCCTGAGGACATAAAAGCAAGGTTCAGTTAGCTCTCTGCAGCAATGGAACTGATGCAGTTGGAAGATGTGCTGCCTTACATAGTGTAGGGCAATGATGTCACCCTCATCCTAGATCACTCATGAACCTCCCAAATGACATGGCTTTTCAAGGAAATTCCACATGCAGGTGGCGTATTCCACAAATGGGAATGCACAAAGGCAGTGAAGAAAAACACATTTTCAAAATTAGGCTGAAACAGCAGCATTGGTAACTACAGATAAAGATACTTGTGGAAGACAAAAATGGCATGTGTCAAAAGGCCTGCAGAGGTGCAAATCATCTGACTGATAAAAATACATCATGATAAAATAGGGGTGGTTAGAGAAACTTAGGCAGAGCTATATTGTGTCAGAATGGGTAGTTCTGTTGAAATCAAAAAGATTCATGAAATCAGATTGATTTCACCTGAATATCTTTTTGGAAGAAAACTAGAAAAAAGTTCTGATAATGTCAAAAAAATCCTACTTCCACATTTTTGGAATGGTACGTTTTGATTTTGTTTTGCCTTGAAATGACTGTTTCAAAATTTAATTTTGCATTATAATACAAATAAAAACAAAATGATTTTGTCAAAACATTTCAATTGACCTGTAATAAGGCTTTTTTTACCCCAAATTTTCCTTTGGAGAATTTCAAATTTTTGGTTTTCATTCCCATTTGGAACAAACCAAATTCTGAAATCTCAAAATCCTTCATGAAACAGAACTTCCTCCCTCCTGACACCTGTAAAAATGTTCTGATCTCCTAAAGCCACCCTCACACTGGCAAGATATAGCAAAGAAATTTAAAGAACATTTATCCCTGTCACTGATCACTTATGAACTATGATGACATCCATACAGAGAAAGAATTTGCCCACCTTTTTGTGTATTTGGCCATATCCCAAGGAATATACACAATAGCATGTTCTGGGGGTAAAAACTGATTGAGATATGTCACTGCACCAACAAGTTCTTCACTCAGAATCCTTTCATGCTTTCTTTTTTCACGTTCCTTAATCAAAGCCAGAAAAAATTACCATTAACATTTTTGAGCTAACAGGTCTAAATGTTAAAATGTTCGTATACAATCTCTCTCTCTCTCTCTCTCTCTCAAACACACACATCCCTGATTTTAGTATTTCATAGTTTATAGGTATAAAACAGGAAGAACAAGCAGCATGCATAAGAAAATAGGGGGGGAGGCCCGGGGAGTGTTTATGCAACATTAAGGCAGACAGTTAAAAATGACCAAACATCAGGAAATTCAGTAAAGTTCTAAGTAATATATTAGGCTTTATAATCTAACAGAATTATATTATGAAATATACTTATCCAGAAAAGTAAGAATAGCCATACTATATATGTGCAAAAAATTGGTCGATTTATTTAAATCACTGATTTTTGTTATTATTGAAATCAGCAAGCAGGAAACCTTGGTTTAAATCATCGTTTTTAAACTCGTTTCATATTTCTACTTTTTAGTTGTTTTCTGAAAGTAAGCTTGATTCTCTTTGGGTTGGTAACCATTAAAGCATATGGATTTGTAACTAAATATAGCTTTTGGTGCTTCTTTTAGCTAACCGGGAGGATACACTATATCTATATACATTTGTTTAAGCAATTACATAGCTTAATTAACATTTATTTAGACTCTTAATTTTTACATTTTTCATAATATTAGAAAATAGTGAAAGATGCCTTTCTTATTTACTAGATGAATTTGTTACTTGTGATTTGTGTCAAGCTCTATTTGGATAGAAATTAAAATTTAATTAAAATGCACAAAACAGCATTTTATTTTTTTATTAGTTAAATAAAACTACCTTCGGAGCTGGATACATAATAAATTATCAAAACATGTTTTGCATTTAAAAACTAACTGAATTATTAAACAAAGAAAGTAGTGAATTGAACTGACTGTTTCTGGTCACCATGCCCTTCAAAACTTAAGAACAGGGACGGGTAAACTTTTTGGCCTGAGGGCCGCATCGAGTTTCAGAAATTGTATGGAGGGCCAGTTAGGGGAGGCTGCACCCCCCCCAAACAGCCAGGCGTGGCCCGGCCCCTGCCCCCTATCCCCCCTGCTTCTCACCCCCTGACGGCCTCCCCCGGGACCCCTGCCCCATCT